GGACACTATAAGAAGAAGTGTAGGTCCCGGAGGGCGAAGGAAGAGACCGAGGGTAAGGGGGTAGTAGCCTCGGTTCAGGAGTATGATTCGGATGTGCTTTTAGTATGCTCCGACTACTCCTTGGGTGGAGGTTCTGAGGTGAGGTCTCCACGACTAGGTGGAGTTACCTCGGGTAGGAAGCTCAGGGGAAGGGGCGAGCTAGGAAATGTCGGGTCACCGGATAGAGTCAGTGAGGGTAGTAGCGCTAGAGGCATTTCCTCTCGGGGTGGAGCACGTGCTTGCACGTGTTCCGAGCCTTCGGTGGAGTTTCTATAGGTCGATTAGGGGAGTCTTCACGGGGTAAAACCCATGGGGGCACCTTAGTCAGTAGGCAGGGGTCCGGGTAGAGGTCATAGGTCGCTTGATCTTTACGGGGATCAAGAGTTAGGTTTGCTAGTATGACTCAAGGTTAGTCTCGGGGCAGTCAGGGTAGACTCGAGAGACGGGTAGATGTCGGGGCGTGACCCTCGGGGGGCCATAGGTGAGGTATAGACTTCACCGGAGGGGGTCATTTAGACGATCTAGGGAGTCATACTAGTCTAGGTCTTAGGTAGTCTTCGGAAGCGGAGGTATCGGGGGACACTCGCTTGGGTAGGTTAGTTGCGTCATGTCACGCTGAGACATGTTTATGACATGCTCGGTAAGGACTCCTTTAGAAAGGTAGGTTCAATACGCCTTGAACCATGCCCAGAGGGGGAGTTACATGGAAGTTACGGGAATGAGCCTGCTAGGGTTGGCGTGTTTTGTTTTCCTTCGTGTTTTTTCTTTCTTCGCAGGTTTTGCAGAAGAAGGTGGAGATTTGTTGAGTCTTCAGCAAATTCTCTGAGCGGAGTAGAAGGTTTCGAAGCTTCGGTTTCGGTCAGAGGGTTCCAAAACGCGGAGGGGCAATTCGGTCGTTTGTTTGGTTTAGGGTAAATGAAACCCTAATTCGTGTTTTGTGTCTTCAGACTTGCGTTTTCTGGTTTTGGGTTGTTTTCTCTCTCTAGATCGGCGAACTTGTGTTCTCCGTGGTTCGGGGTCGATTTTTCGATCGATCTCCGGCGGTTCTCTTTGTGTAACCCTAGCAAACGTTGTTCTTCTTTCCGAGACGTAGGTACCGAACGTTAGAGGTCGGTACTGAACTCGTATTCCGCTGTGTTCTTTCGTTTCTTGTTCGAACGAGTGATTCGGAGGAAATCGGTGAGGTTTCGAGAGGTTGAATCCTCTACAATAAAATTTACCTTTTAGTACTATGTACTACGTAAAGCATTAAAATTGTGAATCTCTAATTTCTATAGTAACGTAATGTCACTGATACAAAAACGTACGATATGTATATATATACGTATTTATCTATATATTATTCAACGGCATGAATAACTCCTATTATAAGTTAGGATATCTAAATAATTTATCATCATCATCACCACCACCATATTTATTATGTTATTCAGGCTTTCGTGTCACGGATGTGATTGTCGACCAAATATGGACCCTATAATGCCAATTTTATAATTTTTGTCATTTGTTTCATGAACTCCTTGTGGATTGTTTTGCTAACCCTTTCATATATAGGCCTTTATATTTAGCATTTAGATATTTCTTTTCGAATTCTAATTTTGTCTCACTTGATGATATGTATTTATTAATTTCCGTAGGCTAGGTCCGAAAACATATAAAATTCTATGTGTTTTTTTAACGATCAAGTAATGATTTAATTGTCATTAACAAAAAAAAGTTATGATTTAATTGCTTATAACATATACGCTGTAATATAGATATCGTTGTTTCCCGAAGTTATAATGCTTTAAAAAAAATTAGATACAGATATATCATGGTTATTTTCAAAAGTAAAAGGCTTAATGAAATATTTATATGATTCTTTTTCTTTGTCACGTCTATGATTTTTTCAAGGCATGTTTAATTTTTTTTTTCTCCACCTCATATGATTAAATATTGTTGTCCTTTTGTCGATCACTGAAAGCCCCTTGTCACGTCTTAGGTCTTATTATAATTTTTTATATTTTTAGTTTATAGTTTTACTGTTATTATTTTGAAAATATTTTTGTCATCTTATTATTTTAAAAAAAGCTTTTGAATAAACAGTATTTAAAGTAAAACGATCCTCAATAATTGCCTACAATATAAAATTGAGAGAAAAAAAAACAATTCAAAGAAAGTGAGAAAAGTCAAGCAGGATTGTCCAAAATAGATAATAAGCCAAATTAAGCATGCTAAATTGCTAATGAGCAATTAGTATTTTGTAATCATTAAAACAAAGATTCCTCTGGATTTTGTGGGGATGACAAGTAAAGTACAGAAATTATTTATTTCAAACATCTCACAAATATTTATATTATTAAACTAACTTTTAATTAATCGGTTTGTCTAATATTTTGATAATATATATATATATATATATATATATATATAGAAACATGATGTAATGTTCCTTGCATTTTATATTTATAAGAAAATCAAATTGGGACCCGTTGGAATTTCCCTTAATTTTTTATTTATTTTCTATGTTATTAAAAAACATTATCTTTGAATAGTGAAAAGATCACAATGCTTTATTCAAGATCTATTGTAAAAATGTTTCGGAAAAGATGATTCGTATATTGTTTTCACCATATAAAATAATGTAAAAATATGTTTTAATGTCTTTTGATCATTCCATAAATGTTATATATTTCTCTAAATAGTTATTTCCTTTTCAAAATATTTTTTTTTGACAATTTTCTTCTTAGCTTAACTATCTTTAGTAAAATTTTGCAAGTGGCGAAATAGGGGAATATTTTTTAGGCACGCCAAGTTTTTTTTTTTTTTATGTTATCATTACAAATTAACATAAAATGATTTTCATAAGAATTACTGAAAAAAATATTTCCATAAGAAGTCTGAAGCTTGAGGGGAAATGGAAAGCCAAAAAACAATAGTTTCATCGTCTGACCAATTAGGTTGAATATCCAGAAAAAAATGCAGTAATTAATTGCAAATTATAAAAAAAAAATCAATATATGTGAATAGATAATAAATGGAGATAGTAATTCAAGAGTTTACTTGTTCCATAACAAGTTCAAGCCATCCCAAATCACAAAATTTTAATTAAATTGTTTCCAGAAAATTTTTTATTGAAAAGAATATAATATATATATATACACCCACGCAAATAAATATAATAAGGAACCCGATTTTTCGTAAGGGAAAAAAAGAAACCCGTTTCGTCACGCTTTCGCTATAATAATTTATTTTAAAATATTTTTAGTTGTCCTTTGTTTGGAAGAATATGTAAAGTCCTAAATCATATTTAACACATTTTAATTAGCGTATACCACAATTTAATCATATTATGAAACATGAACATGTCAAACTTTGTCCTTATTCTGTTCGGAAATAGAATGCAATACGCTTGTATTTGCTTCAATTAAAAAATAAAAATGAAATTTTGTTTTCTCCCAACATTTGATTTTGAATCAATTTTTAATATATTTCTAATCTTAAAATTTTATTTTTTATGTTTCTAAATAAGTTCAAAATACACTTTCGCTTGTATCTAACAGATTTTTTTTTTCTTTCAGAATATGTATATTTCATATTTTAATTCTTATTATTAAAAGTTTATGTTTATCAGATATAGGAACTGATTTACATATTTTATTTAAATAATAAATAAAAGTGTATTATTGTATAGATTTAATACTTATTAACTATAAAGATACAACACATCATGCAAATAGAGATAAAGTAAAATAATGAATATGTTTGTTAAAGAAATAGTATATATGTTAAATATTAAAATTGTTATACATAAGTGATCAATTAATCTAATTGTTGATCTGCTATACGAAATAAAAGAATTACAATAAAGTATTATCATCTTTCACTACGTGTTGATTTAAATATATTTTTTGGTATTTTGAGTTATATATTTTTATTTTGATATTTATTACATATTTTAAAGTTTAGCTTTGTTATATTGTAAATTTAACTTATTTTATTAGTTTTGATATTAGAGATATTACTATCATACAATTTAATTTAACAATTTTATTTAAAGTTAAGATAAATAAACTTGAAATGGGAAACCGATATTGTAGATATAAGTTTGTAAATTTTGAAGTAATATCATTTCCAAACTCTATTTTTGGAATAAAAATAGGAGTTTAGTTGTAGAGGTGATTTCTTCGATTTTATATATTCAGATTCAATTATTTTCGTTTTTATGAAATTTTTAATAGTTCGGTTTTTATATTAAATTCGACTTGATTTGATTATATTCATTTGGATTAGTTTGGTTACGAAAAAAATATTCATTTTCTTAATAAAATTTATGATTTTTTATGTTTTTTTTATTCTGTTCAATTCGGATTGGATTTGATTTTCAATTTTACAAAAAATTATTATGAAATAAAATTTGGTGAATGATAAAAAATAATTATCGGTTTGAGATGCGCTATAAACATAGACATCAAATGAAGAAAACGCTTAATCTGATCTCTTCAGTGGAATCTCTCTCTCTCTCTCTCTCTCTCTCTCTCTCTCTCTCTCTCTCTCTCTCTCTCTCGTCTGGAGAGACGCCATTACCATCTTCGTCATCATCACATAGGACGAAAACCAAAACGAACAGAGCTACAAAAATAATGACGAGAAATTTAACTCTCTCTCTCTCTCTCTCTCTCTCTCTCTCTCTCTCTCTCTCTCTCTCTCTCTCTCGTCTGGAGAGACGCCATTACCATCTTCGTCATCATCACATAGGACGAAAACCAAAACGAACAGAGCTACAAAAATAATGACGAGAAATTTAATCAAATACGACACCAGAACTATTTTATATATACATATATATATATATATATATATGAACAATCTTCGAGTCCATACACTGAAACTGAACACCACTCGAACACAAACAGAGCCTGAGAGACGCCATTACCATCTTCGTCATCATCACATAGGACGAAAACCAAAACGAACAGAGCTACAAAAATAATGACGAGAAATTTAATCAAATACGACACCAGAACTATTTTATATATACATATATATATATATATATATATGAACAATCTTCGAGTCCATACACTGAAACTGAACACCACTCGAACACAAACAGAGCCTCATCTCTCTCTGTCTCTTCCTCTGATAGAGAATCATGGGCACAAACAAAACTAAAACACAAATAAAAAAAAATCTAAATCACCCTAAAAAAACAAAAACGAAAGAGAGAAAAAAGGGGGGAAACCCAGAGATAGAGAAGCCTTTATGTACATGTATATCTATCTACTTTGATTCTGAACCAGACAACATAGGAAAAAAATTCTGGGTTTCACTTGTTGTTCTTCGAAAACCCAGGAAAAGATCAACAAATCAAAACGCAAAATGGATCAGGAATCATCAGAAGGGCAGAGAATCTCCGATCAAATCCATCGGATTCAGGAATCGGTGTAATCTCTCCAGCAGATGAGCATGACGACGCATCTCCTCACGATGTAGAATCGGGCTCTCTGCTCTTTGACCAATCTCGCACACTTCCTCGTGAAAGCGCACTTCCCCTGTTTCTGGGCCTTGTCGTATCCGGAAAACGAAGATGACATCGACGAAGAGCGCGTGATCCGATTCCTCGACGCGCCGCCGCCGGAGATTTCTTTCTTCGACAGCTTCCACTCGTCGCCGAGGTAGAATTGCGGCCCGCTTCCGGTTCGGGTCAAGACGGACGCCATAGATTCTCTGTGATTTTCGCCCGAAGCTTTCAGATTTTCGAGACGACGAAGAACAAGCTCCGATCTTCGCTCGGGAATCAACACCGATATTTCGGGTCTTTTTTCTACTTTGTTTATGGGTTTTTCGGAGATTGAGGAACAATAGAAATTGGAAAGAAGAAGAAACAAGCTTGGGAAAATGGGGATTTTTCTTGGAATTCTGAGATTTGAGTCAGCTAAGGAGCAGAGTTAGGGTTTCGTATTTATAATGGATGGCATAATGGAAACACAAAAACAAAAGAAAACAAATGAATTTTGTAGAAAAAAGAAAAACAAAAATGAAAAAGTTCCTCTTTTTCCATTTCAATATTTTTTTTTAAAAAATGATTTGTCTTTTTTAGAGATAAATATTATATATATCATAGGGTTGTGGCAGTGGGTATTCCCCGGGCCTTATTTCGCCTCGGCTGGCCCACCTAATCACTCTTTCTGTTACAACAATTATATATATAAAAACAGATTTCGGTATTTAACAAAAAAAAAATGTTAAAAATGCTGTATTTTAGTTTATAATTAGCTTTTGTTGGTGCAAAATGCTTAATTTATAGGTAATTTCAATTTGTGAGTAACTTTTGTTGTTACAAAAGAAATAAAAATAATAATAACCTTTTGATGTTGAAAGACAAAAACCACCTCAACTTAGTTTTTATTTTTACCGTATATTTATTATCCGAGATATAATCTCAATTGAGATCTGACTGAAAGATGGGGCGATGGGTTTCCACCATTATAAAAAAAAAATAAAAAAACTACCAAACTTTTCAATTTTGACGAAATTCTTATGGATATTTTACCTTTATTGTTTTCTTGTGATGAAATTCTTATGGATATTCTATATTTGTTTTTTTTTTATAATCCGGAAGTTCACCGGATCTATGGCCCAACTACATCTCTTAGAGGACCGAAGAAATCCATATGAATGCCCCTCCCCACGTTTGGGTTTGAATCCAGGGTGAGAACATGCTTTGCATGTTCTCTCACTACTAGGTCACCCAAACTTGGGTGTATTCTATATTCGTTGTTTTATCATCATACCAACAAGACATTTATTTTTATTATAAAAAAAGACATGCATTCTAAATTATAAAAATTTAACCAAGGATTAAAAGTTTAAATAAACTTCATTTATGGTCCTAGAATTATTGTTTCTTTGACGGAATTTGGTTAGTGGTGACAAAACCTACACGATTTTTTTTTCTTCGCATAAAAAATCTAATATGGCTTTGGAGAAACGTGTTCACAAAATGAAATCATTTATTACTATTCTTTTATATATTTATTGCAATTGTGATTATTTTATAGAGAATTAAAAGAAAAGGTTGTGAACACGCGTCATGGCTTTAATGCACAGGGAATCTTAATCACTGACCTCTATGTCTCTCTCTGTAACTGTTAATTACTCGTTTTCAGATCAATTAATAATGCAAATGCAACAATAAACAGTAATCATAAACATTAATCGTTGCAAAAACAAACACAATTCCTTTCAATTGTTTTTTATTCAGAATTTCTTATTTTGAAAAACATTGAAAATGATTTGATCAGAGTTTTTATTTTGCTTGATTTTATATAAAATATTAAAGAGAATCTCATATAAATACCTCAACCTTTACAAAATATATTATATAAATATCTAAACTTTTAATTTTATATAATTTATATCTCCAATATTAATATATTCCAAATAGATATCCAATTTATGAAATCTAGAGTAATTATATTGAAATTGACATCTAATTTATATATCACCATTAAATTCGAGATTGAAAAATTATTATCCATTTCGTGAGTTTTATTTTTTATCTTAAAAATTAAATATGATTTATAAATCGTCATCAGAAAACGATATTGGAAAGTGTTATCGGTTTCATAATTAAGGTATTTATTTTAGAATAGTTTAACCTTTGAAATATGAATTTGGAATATTTTAACATTTAGATATCAATTAAATCAAAATAAAAGTTTAGATATTTATTTGGATTTAGATTAAATTAGATAAGTTCCCATGCAATGAATATAGTATTTAATTAATTTTGTTAGACTTTTATCTGCTATCTTCCTATTGTTTTTGTAGGGTATTTTAATTCCCATTCTCTTCTCTCAAAATTGTATGGCAATTATAGCGTTCAAATTAATTTTAAAACTTGCACATTTCACTTTTCTTAGGCATCGACATTTTTTTTCCATTTGAACTTAACATTTTCACTACAGAATACGACGGAACAATTTTCATCCGTATAACGATGTCGCAAAAGTTTGTCGGCCGTTAATCCGTCACTGAAATAGCGACCGATAAAATCTACGTTTTGCGACAGAAAAACTATAGAAAATTCCGTCGCAAATTTGTGAGAAAAAATAGATCGAAAAAATCCGTCGTAAATATTTTTAATTTTTTTTAAAATATATTATATATAAATATATATATATATATATATATATATATTCATATACACATACATACATTACATATATATATATATATAAATTTATATATATATATATATACACACATATACTCATACATAAACACACATTCATACACATAAATTTACATAAACATACACAAACATACATATATATACACATACATAAAACACACATACACACATGTACATATATATACATATACACATACACATATATTACACACATACATAAACACACATTCATACATATTCACACATATATACATACAGACACATATACAAATACACATACACACATATATAAACACACACACACACATACACATATATACATAAACACATTCACATTCACATATACATATACATAAAGACATACGCACACATATTCACATTCACATATATACACAACACACACATATATATTCACATATATACACAACACACACATACATATTTACATATATACATACACTATACACACATAAACATACATACACACAAAATATACACACACATATATACACACAAAATACATATAATCTATATATACTTATATATATATTCACACTTATATACATACATGATATATATAAATTTTTGGAGCAAAACAAAGTTTGGAGAAGATCGGAGAAGATTAAGATTTTTTTTGGAAACTTCAAAGTCTGAAGGAGGAAGACGAAGTCGGTGCTTTTATTTCGTGTTGCTACAGAACGTATTATAGCAATCCATCGCAAAACGAAATAAAAACCGTGAAGATTTAAAAATTTTCATCGAAAATAACGAAAATAAATGAAATTAGTAGTTGCAATGGATATTTTGTCGCAAATTCGTAGCAAATTCTGGAAAATAAATAAAATAAATTAAAAATAATTAAAATTAATATTTTCTATAGACATTTATATCGGACATTCGTAGCAAATTTGATAATAAATAAAATAAAAATAAATAAAATAATTAAAATTCTCAAAAATTCAAATCTAAAATCTACTTTATTTTTTTTTATTATAATTATACCATACAATCATCATCTATAATTGAAAACAAAAATATATTGTTCAAACGGATAATATTATCTATTTTCACTATCGAAACAGTAAATCGATAATCAACTATTTAGACCAATGGAATCCTTGCGATCTTCATCGTGAATATTTGTTTAGTTCTCTGGAATTTTGACATATTTACATCCCCTCTATGAGGCAGAAGATAACCTTAAAATAATTAAATTGCAATCAGTTTTCACTCATCCGTTGTTCGAATATGGAACCGGAGATAAAGACACTCCACTCCTTCTCAACCAATTACAACTACTGGACCACAACAAAATGAAGTTTCATCGTGAATATTGTGATCTAAACTATGAACTTATGAGTATCTATTTTCATATGCATTTTTTGGTTGAAAGAATAACAATTAGGAAAGAACAAAAAAAAAAAAAAATAGGAGAATGCCAAATGAGGAAGAGAAGTGGGAGATGAGCAATGAACTCTAAAAAAAAAATCTAGAGATGAAATTATTCTATATTTTTTATTCGTTTTTTATAATTATTCTGTCGTGTTCAACTTATTTTTTTTATAATATGTGATTTGTCAATGATGAGATTCAAACCTGGATAAAGCACTCTTGATTTTTTTATTTTATATTATCTAGAGATGAAATTATTCTATTTACGTTAGTCTCATGAAAAATAAATTATTCGTGCTAGTTTTTTGCTTTGACAAAAAATAAATTATTCGTGCTAGTTTTCTGCTTTAACAAAAAGTTTATGAAATTCATAAAGCAATGTCGCCTACATTTTTTTATTCGAATTGATATAATATCGCCGTATATTATTGATATATTGCTTTTATAGTGGGATAAATAAATAAACCCATCGTAACATGAAAATATTATTTGGGAGGTGCGTTTTAGTACTAAAAAGTTCGTCGAAACTTGAACAATTAATAAAGGATAAAAAAAAAGAATTAGATAAATTAGAATAGAAGCAAAGGTCAAAGCGAAAGGCCTCTCGAGGAAACAGAAGGTTTTGGGACACGTAGGAGTCGTATCACCATTGACACGTGTCAGATAAGATGGCAATGAATGCGATGTATCAGAGATAACCGGAGGCCGACATTAGCTCGATAACCGGGACCTCCTTTTTTCTTTTCCTTTTTTTTTTCCAAAAAATTTGTGGTCAATGGTCAAACTTTTTTTTGCACGAGAGAATCTGCAACACTGCAAGAATGCACGTGCCTTCGATCTTCATCTCCGACTCCCATTTCTATCTTCGGTCGGCCTTAATTTCGTATTATTGAAATATTTAATATCTCTTCGATTTAAATAATAGTCAAAACTATTGTAATTTCGTGGTTATAGAATGGTCAAGGTTTTCGTGAAGAATTTTCTCTTATATTTATTCATCGCGTAGTTTTTTTTTTATAACCAGAATGGTTTTTTGGATCTTCGACCCGATTACATACATTCTAGGTACGGGACCAATCTTTGTATGTGGACCATTTTGATCCAGAAATTACATCTCTTCCCACCAGTAAAATCGAACCCAGAATTTTAAGGATGACTCGGCCACCAACTGTTGAGTTATTCATCGCGCAGTTACTAGAAATAGATAAAAAAATCTTTTTTTTGAGTAAAGTTTTCAATATTATAAATTATAACCCAACAGTTGGTAACTCAATGGTTGAGAGGTAACAAAGTCATTCTCAAAATCCTAGATTCTACTGACAGAGAGGGATGTAATTTCTGGACCAAAATGATTCATATATAAAGATTGGTCTTGAATCTAAGGTGGATATA